AAGTGAAAATAGAGCTTCTGGCTGCCAGATCCAAGAAATAGCATTTCTCCCCTCCCAATTTCAGGAACTTCCTGAAAAACAGAACAGAAGCCCAGCCGAAAATGGGATTGAAACGGGATGGGTTTTCCCGAATTGCACACCCCTACTGTTTCCACTATAATGTGTGCTGGTTAGGCCTTCTCTGATGCTATGGAAGCTTCATTTTATGGAGGATACTGAAAATTAGAGCACGCTCCGAGAAGGGCAACAAGCATAAGTATGGAGAACAATACAGAATCATAGAGCTGTAAGAGACCACATGGACTACAAGTTGAAGGATGTAGACACTTTTAATTTGGTGAAAAGAAGACTAAGGGATGACATGAATACATTCTTTAAATACCTCAAGGATGCCAAAATAGAAGAATAAGGATTTGTTCTCTGCTGTCCCAGAGGATAGGACCAGGAATGCATCTACACCATAGAATTAATGCACTGACATGTCTCAGTGCTATGTATCCTGGTATTCATAGTTTGATGAAGTGCCAGCCCTCTTTAGCAGAGGTTAAAAACCTTGTAAAACTGTGACTTCTGTAATTCCAAAGCAATGAGCCATGACAGATAAAGTGATGTCACAGTGCATTAATTCTACAGTGTACTGTAGATGCATTTGGTTTTAATGGTTTGAAAAAAGAGGAGAGTAAATCTCAACTGACTGTTAGAAGGAACCTCTTGACAGTAAGACTGGCTCAGCAGAGGAACCATTTACCTAGAGTGGTGATGGGATCTCCTTATCTGGATGTCTTCAGAAAGAGATATAAAAGCTCTACACAGGGTAGGGTCTTGGACTCAGTGTCCCATGAGGCCCCTTCCAACTCTATATTCAATGCTTAGGGGGAAAAAGAAGTGTAGAATGGAATTTTAGATCATACAGTATTCTCATTTGCTATTCTTTGCTAACTAGCATGCAAAAGGCAGAGTTGTTTTCTTGAAATGCAAGTTGGCAGATTCATAAGTCACCACCTAGCTTCTGTGTCCATGCACCACAAAAGACTTCTTTCTTCATTTGCTTTTGTGGCAGGTAAAACTGTCTAATTCCTTTCTGTCTATCACAGAGCCTGCTTTGTCTCTTTTTACTATATATTCTGTGCTTGAGTAAAAAAAACAAAGAGTTTGTAGCTTAAACCAGACATTAAAAAGGCATGGGGCCACATCACATGTTCCTTTATGCTGCATTATTCAGTTTGTTTGTTTTTTAGCCAGTCTCATGGGGGTAGCCGATTGTGGACACACTCTATTGCATCCTTACTACATTTGTGCTTGAAGAACATCATTTGCACTATTTTTTAATCTTAATTAATGGCAACATGGCAACATTTCTAATTCCTGTAGCCTGTGCCTTGCTTTGTGGTTGTTGTTCTTTTGTTAAAAATGTAGTTGTAATAATGCAATGATGGTATGAGAAGAGGATGTGCTATAACAGACACCCTAAATAGTTACTGAATTGTTATGAAAAAGGGAGATTAGTAATGTTTTATTTCCAATGTGTGTGTGTGTGTATGTGGGGGGGGGGAGCACATTTCAATAACCCTACAATGCGACAACATCTAGAACAAGATCATGTTATAAGGCTGAGGCAAATGTGACCTAACACGCCAATTGTATACAATAGCATGCTGTGATATTGCCCAAAGACAAATTCTTTGTTGTATATTTTATTAATAGATAATATAAAACTACATATAAGGTAGACTACATATAATAAAAAGAAACAATAAAGCATGCAACATATACCTAGAAAACTATTTACTAACTACAACAACAATACTACATAAACAAACATTTACATAAACCAACACAGAGATACAGATAATTTTTAACATACTAGTTATAACGTATCCTCTACACCTTTCTCTCTATGCTATTTGGAAAACACAAATATTTAAGCTCTATCAGTATTGGTTCTACTTATGTATGCATTTTATTATCCATCAAAATTTCTTCTGTTCTCCATATTATCCTCATCTATTCACTCTCTAATCCCTGTTCTTCTTTAAAAATTTCCAGTGTCTTTCAAATTACATTTGCTAATTTGTTCACTTGCACAAAATTGTATAACTTTGTTAGTCAGTCAATTTTTGTAGGTACAGCTGTATCTTCCATCTTTCAGGATGTATATAGAATTGCCATACACTGAAAAAAATCTTCTCATTGTGCTCATTCCATAGTCCAACAACAAAATATCACATTTCAATTGTATCTTAATTTTTTGAATCTTGCCCATGTCATCATGAATCTGAATTCAGGGTTTTGTTTTTGTTTTTACTTGTTCACATGTCTATCACATATGATAAACGATTCCTTCTTTTTGCTTATAATTCCAACATATAAAGTTTTTCTTTAATATCATAACATAAATTCCAAACCTTCTTTCCATATCTTTTCCATTGTTTCTTTTGTATTTTATATATGTTTTGAGCCATTTTATAGTACAATATTTAACTTGTACATCTTTCATGTCTACTTTTAATAGTAAATTATTCAATTCTGCAATTAAAGGATCATATTTAGTACACAGTAGCAATTCAAACTTCAATTTTGTTATCTCAAAACCATGTAATTCCTCATCTATTTTAAAGCATTCTGTTAATCATGTACAGAAGTACCAAGGAAAAGATATTTCAAACTCATTTATTGTTTTCATTCCAAGTTGTCCTCCTTCCAGAATCAGGAGATTACATATTTGTCCTTTCATTTTTGTTTTCTCACACAAGCTTCATGCAATTAGGCTCGTAAGGGCATCCTATATTTATTCCATATTCTTTAAATAGGTCTTCTAATAAAATAAAAGCATGATTAAGATCAACATGTGCCTTGATCTTATCATACCATAAATAACCATACCAACCAAATTTCAAATCAAAATCTTCTAGTTGTAATGGTTTCTTATTTTTTTTAATGTTATCCAGTCTTTTATCCAAACTAAACTACAAACAGTAAGTTATTTTCAGGCCAGAGAGTTCCAAGGTCACATCTAAGTCTTGGCTTTTTGCCTTGTCAAATAAATTGTTTCATGGCCTCCTGTCATTGCTTAAATGGAAGCCCATAGCCAAATCCTAGAACAATGAACCAGGCACAGCTATTAATTAAAACAGTAAAATGGGACATGCAAATTCAAAGGCTATAAACCCTTCTGATTTCAGATTTAAATTGGCCACCAACATTTCACCATCTGAGCTGCAATGGCTTTGGAGAAATCCCTCCACCAAGCTGCACTCCTTCCACTAAGATTTTTCAAGTGGAAAGGGAAGATTCCCAGCACAGAGAGCCAAAGTGTAGGGGATAATTTTTGTCTTATTGCTGATCCCCTTCCATGTGTGTACTGCCAACCCTTCCAATAAAGATGACACTAGATCACTAGATCACATATTGATAACAACAGTTGCATTTCCCCATCCCATCCCAGCTCCTACTGCTCACTACAATTAAAACAGTAAAGTAGACATGATTTTTTTTTAAAAAAACTATCTAATTGTTCTCATCAGTCAGTTGAAATGGAAACTCCAAAGAAGGTACTTTTGCTAGTGCTTGGATGAGCACGACTCAGAGAAAATGGGGAAGGGTTAAGCTTGCCTTCATTTGATGTCTCCAAGATCATAATAAAAAGAATAGTTCCCCGTCTAAATGTTAGATGATCTAGATCAGTGGTTCTCAACCTGGGGTCCCCAGGTTTTTGGCCTACAAGTAGGTTTTTGGCCTACAAATCCCAGAAATCCTAACAGCTGGTAAACTGGCTGAGATTTCTGGGAGTTGTAGGCCAAAAACATCTGGGGACCCCAGGTTGAGAACCACTGATCTAGACGGACATCAACAGGTAGAAGTATTGAGGTCAGGCTTGTGTGTACCGGGAGGCAATTACTACATCATTACTAAGTTATAAGATAAATCTTCATTTTAACTAACACAGTAAACCCTTAATTTTTACATGTTTAATTTGCATTTAAGTTACATTTGTATACATCACTGCCTCTTAAATTGTGGGTCCTGGCCCCAAATGGGATCCCCTTAGCTCAATACTGGGATCACAAAAAAGTGGCAAGAATAAAAAGTTTCTGGAAATCACCCATTTACATACATCTGTTAGCAATAACATACAGTGTTTCCAAGCAAGCCTCGGAAACATTTATTTTCAGTAAATGTTTGATTTTTATATATATTTTATATACCTATATACTTCTGGTCACATAAAAATTTCTCAGGCAGAAACGTTTCATGAATGAAAAAAGTTTAAGAAGCCCTGGTCCAAAGAAGGATGCAAAATCCAGATCAAAGGGAAAAGAAACTCAGAAGGATGAAACACAGAATGCTTTTAGATGAAAAATAACCCCTTGACACATTTCTCCCCCGAATGAACGAATTTCCTTTTTTAATCAGGCAGACTCAGAGGAAGAAAAAGAACTTCGAGTGATCTTCGACATCAATAGTATTACTTTAAAAAAAGGGAAAAAAAGAAACTGTCAGTACATTGCAGTCATAGCTGTCATAGCTTGACTTTTCTAATCAGTCAACCTGAGACAAACAACATCTACTCTATTAAAGGTTTAGGAAAGTCCCTGTTTCACCATTACCTTCTTTGCCTTAAAATATACAAGAGTATGGAAAAACCTGGTGACATTTAGAATGCACTGAACGCATTCTCTGAACTGAAATGGACTTGATTTGACTTTAGATAGCAAGATTTAAGAGGAACCCACTAGGATTATCAAGAAATGGAGAAAGATTGCTAACCCAGGTTGAGAATGCTGACACAACTGTAGTGAGTTGATAAAGTGGACTAGAACCTACATTGGTTTATGCTAGAAATTCTTACTTCCTTTCATTTAATTTCTTTAAAAGATATAAAGTGTATTTACATCTTTTTAGGTGGCAGCAAACTAATGTGGCTATGTTTTGGAATGCCACTACAACTGTATAAGCAGTGACTTCAGGCCTCCCTGTGCAAGGAAACCCCTGAGGTAGCTTTATCCTCTTGAGGCACAAGGAGCAGGTGCAGCTCCAACTATCACATTGGGACCCTTCCCACTTTTGATTCCATGTGGCTGCGGTGGTGGTGGAGGGTTACACATGTCTCCACCTGAGGGACTTTGAGCTGCACAAGGGGCACCACATGGTGATAGGCTTTGCTTGAATCCTGCAGGGGTGCAAGTGTCTCTTCCGTTCATCAGCATGCTTCCACCTCTCTTTGACCCACTGATGAGGTCACTGTTGCACACGACGGCCCCTTGGCTCCTTTGCACAGCTGGCAAAAGAAGGAGAAAGAAGGGGGCACATGATAACAGTTACAGGAAGGTTCCACCAGAAATAATGAAATTAGCAAGACTAGTTTGGGAAAAGGGGGTCTCTCTGAGTTACTTACAGATATTCACTGCACATTCTCCATCACTGATCCTGGAGGGATTTTAAGAAAAATTGAAAGATCTCAGTAGCTATATATGAAGACCCAAAACACATAGCACTACAAAGTGGATTTACAACTTATCAGATGTGGTGAGTTGTGTGGCACTTTAGAAGATGGATACAGGCATGTAGCCGGGGGGGGGGGGGGCTTGGGGGCTTCCCCCCCCCCCCCCGAAATTCTCATGGTGGTCCGCGAGAAGGCCTTACTGGTACATTATTTAAACTGTTATGTTATTCATATCATGATCTGATCACCATGCTCAATATATCCCATATGCATGGGGGTATTGGGGTAACGATACAAAAGGTTTGCTAGGGTAGACCCTCTTTCACTCAGACTCAGCCCCCCCCCAACCAAACTCAGCCCCCCCCCCAAAACAAAATCCTGGCTACGGGCCTGGATGGATATGTTTTATAATGGCATACACTCTTCTGGATAATATCAATATCACTGTATACTTGTAAAAAGCTTTGTTTGTACAGAATGAGTAAGCGTGAAATTTGCTGCAGCAGTATAGATGAAATCCAGGGAGAAAATGCCTATACTTTGCAGTTTTCAATACTGAGTTTTTGTTCAGACTTCAGCACTGTATCAACTTATTGCAAGTCTTCAAGATATTTCTGGCTTATTAGTCACTCTAAGGCAAACCTCAGCTAGATTTCTTCAAAGAGGGCTAGCCTTTGCTCTGAGGGTGAAACAATATGACTCTTCCAAGGTCACCCAGTAGATATCCATGGCTGCACAGAGATGTAAATTTCCAAACAAGCCTAACATTTCTATCTGTTGATTGTTAATACACAGACAATAACATTACTTTAGTTTTCCAGCAGTTTCAGAAATAGCCCTCCTATTACGTGTATATTAGGCCTGTTTGATCAAGAAAAAATTTGTTTCTAAAATCGATTTGTAATTGGGGTGTTTTTTTGTTTCGATATTTAAAATAATTACAAAACTTTCCAAAAAAAAGTTTCGGTATTTACGAAATTTCGTAAATATTAACAAAACATTTTGTAAAGATGGGGCCTTTTTTTTTCAATATTTTTTAAATATTTTTTAAATTTAATTATTAAATAATTTAGTAGAATAGGGAGGAGAAATTAAGGGAAGGCAGGCACTCACTCTGGCGGGCCCTCTCGCTCGCCGCTCGCCCTCTCACTCGCCCTCTCGCTCGCCGCTCGCCCTCTCACTCGCCCTCTCGCTCGCCGCTCGCCCTCTCGCTCGCCCTCGCCGCTCGCCCTCTCGCTCGCCGCTCGCCCTCTCACTCGCCCTCTCGCTCGCCGCTCGCCCTCTCGCTCGCCGCTCGCCCTCTCGCTCGCCCTCTCGCTCGCCGCTCGCCCTCTCGCTCGCCGCTCGCCCTCTCACTCGCCCTCTCGCTCGCCGCTCGCCCTCTCGCTCGCCGCTCGCCCTCTCGCTCGCCGCTCGCCCTCTCACTCGCCCTCTCGCTCGCCGCTGCTCGCCGCTCGCCCTCTCACTCGCCCTCTCGCTCGCCGCTCGCCCTCTCGCTCGCCGCTCGCCCTCTCACTCGCCCTCTCGCTCGCCGCTTGCCCTCTCGCTCGCCGCTCGCCCTCTCGCTCGCCGCTCGCCCTCTCGCTCGCCGCTCGCCCTCTCACTCGCCCTCTCGCTCGCCGCTCGCCCTCTCGCTCGCCGCTCGCCCTCTCACTCGCCCTCTCGCTCGCCGCTCGCCCTCTCGCTCGCCGCTCGCCCTCTCGCTCGCCGCTCGCCCTCTCACTCGCCCTCTCGCTCGCCGCTCGCCCTCTCGCTCGCCCTCTCACTCGCCCTCTCGCTCGCCGCTCGCCCTCTCGCTCGCCGCTCGCCCTCTCGCTCGCCGCTCGCCCTCTCACTCTCGCCCTCTCGCTCGCCGCTCGCCCTCTCGCTCGCCGCTCGCCCTCTCACTCGCCCTCTCGCTCGCCGCTCGCCCTCTCGCTCGCCGCTCGCCCTCTCACTCGCCCTCTCGCTCGCCGCTCGCCCTCTCGCTCGCCGCTCGCCCTCTCACTTGCCCTCTCGCTCGCCGCTCGCCCTCTCGCTCGCCGCTCGCCCTCTCACTCGCCCTCTCGCTCGCCGCTCGCCCTCTCACTCGCCCTCTCGCTCGCCGCTCGCCCTCTCACTCGCCCTCTCGCTCGCCGCTCGCCCTCTCACTCGCCCTCTCGCTCGCCGCTCGCCTCGCCCTCTCCCTCGCCCCTCGCCCTCTCGCTCGCCCTCTCGCTCGCTTGCTCAGCCGGCGCGGAGAGAGGAGAGCTCCCAGCAAGCCAGGCGGCCATCTTACGTATTTCCGAAATGGACGGAAATACAAAATTTTTTGGCGCCTGCCGTTTCGATATTTAAAAACCCTTCCGGGTTTGAAAATATGTTTTGTTATCGTTTCGTATATGCAAAAATTAACGAATGTTTAACGAATTAACGAATTAACGAACGAAACCGCACAGGCCTAGTGTATATATCAGAAACCTTTCTGTATTTTACCTGCATTCTTCTCCTTCTAACAGTTTCCTGTACGTTGCAATCTCAATATCTAGGGCCAACTTGAGATGCATTAATTCCTGATATTCTCGTAACTGGCAAGCCATGTCTTGCTTGGCCTTGTGCAGGGCATCCTCCAGATCAAACAGCTTGCATTTGGCATCCTTCACAGCCATCTCTCCACGCTCCTCTGCACCAGCCACCTCCTCTTCCAATTTGCAGCGCTGTAAGGTATGGGAGACATATGAGAGATGAGAAACAAAGGGAGAAATACGCACGTTCAAGGTGGTATAGCATTAACTAAGGAAAATAAATATATTTATATTGCACTCTGGTCCTCATCACATGGCAATTATTTAGGAAAACTTCTGCAATAAATTGTAAACATGTTAATATTTGAATTGTTGTTGTGTTACTTCAAGTTGTTTCTGACCCCTGGCAATCCTAGCACAGGGATTTCTTGTTCACAAGAGACATGCCATTCCCATTCTCTGTATTTTCAAGAGTGTGACTTCCCAAGTGGGTTTTATTCAAACATTCATAGTCTAATGATCAAAGCACTACTTCCTCTTGTTTCTTGTGTGTTTTTTTTAACCACTGTCTCTGTCTATTCTGATTAAACTTGGTAGAGACTGGTCACAGTACCTCTGCAAACTCACTACAACAACACAGCCATAGGTCCACATATAAGGGCTCACCTAGAGATACAATATCCAACCCTGGAAGGGAGTAGTGGTAAACAAGGGTAGGGTAACAGGATTTCAAGGGTTGGAACTGCTAGGCTATCCTAGAAAGGTGATCTGTCACAGTCACTTTTGTACTTCATACAGAAATGTCTGTCTCTTTCCATGAACATTTTCAGATATTGCTCTATTCTTGTGTATTTTCTTTTAAATGGACAATTTTTTTCAAAAGTATTATATTTATTTCATGAAGTTTTTTCAGTTCTAAAATATACAGATTGTGCTTATTTTGTGTTCATTCCATAAGATATATATTTGCATTAAATGTGAAACCAGCTCATTTCTCACTCCTGGGAACATGACCTCAACTGATGTGCCCATTTTCCAATACAGGCCCAGCAGTTCTCCAGGAATGCATTCCTTTGCTAGCTTGGCAGCACTTAATTAGGAATATAATAGTAAAAACAAACCATTTTATATTATCACCATAGGTATGACAATCCATGTAGCACTGTTGATCCTTACCTGAGTTTTAACATTGGAGATTTCTGCTTGCAATCTGTTAACTGTCCTGGTCAGTTCTTCAAGTTCATCTTTGAAATTGCGGAGATTATCACAGTGTTTGGCAGCTGTTGTTTTCAATTCCTGATACTGAAGTTGATATACTGATGAGCAATGTGTCACTGTATCAGAAATCTATACAGATATATGAAGGCTTACCCCCACAGCTGAAATATTTGGCAGTCCCATAAAGTAGACCCATTGAGTTAATGGGATTTAAGTAAATGTTGATTCATATGTGAACAATTGATCCAACTGGTTTTACTCTCTTTGGGACCCACCAACTTACTTCTGGCTGATGTGTGTATTCCTATTGATTGGAGGTGGAAAATTAGAGATGCTAACCAGGTTGCCTTAAAGGTGGTCAAGCACAGTTCAAGATGGTTGAAAGGGGTGCAGATGTATCAAAAGATAGAGGCTTGCATCTGTGATTTTTCAGAGAGTGTTTTGAAATGGCACTGAGAGATGTTATGCTGACAAAGAAAACATTTGAAATAGAACAGAGAACTGCCTGTGCTTTTGGGGAACTTAAGGGTTCAGAGATTCCTGGGAAGGTAGGAGTGGCAGCAGCAGTGACTTGAGTATGATCTATCCCCTTTTCCTGCACCGATGAATACAGAGAAAGGCTACTGGTTCTAGTTTCTAATCTGGATAGTGGATCAGGCCAATACAGCTGTCCAGACTGTGGGATACACCAAAGTTTCTAGTAAAATAAAAAATCAATTAAAAAAACCCTCACTGGTAGCTTCTGGATGTTATGGGAACAGCTATGTTGTTCAACCCTTATAAATTCTGATAGCTGGGTTTATATCTCATCAAAATTCAGATGGACCATCTTCATTTTCAAAGAGCTATATATAATTTGCTCCCTGAATTCCATTAATTCCACCATCAATATCTTGAAGAGAGAGAGAGAGAGAGCATTGATTTTGCCATTTTATATAGGCAAAATCAATGCCTTTTTATGTAACGGGACTTGAGCATCCACAGATTTTAGTATCCATTGTGTTGGGGGAGGGGGGGGAGAATTGTCCAGGAACCAAATTGTAATGAATACCACATGGGCACACTGTACTAAGGATGGTGAAATCAATATACCTGGCACTGACACCAAGCCTCAGCTTCTGCTCGACTTCGGGACGCAATGTCTTCATACCGACAACGGAACTCTTCAATGATGCAGGCCACATCTAAGTCTCGACTGTTGTCCATTTTCACGGTGACACAAGTGTCTGAAATGCTGGACTGCATTTCACAGATTTCCTGTAAAGAACACCAACTATTTCATGTGATGCTGATGGACTGTTTTGTTTTCATGCCATAGTTGCTAAATGCCTTCAAACCAATACTGACCTATGGCCAAAAAACATCAGGGGTAGTTTGCCATTGCCTTCCTCTGTGTCCTCTTATAGTGTGTGACTTGCCCAAGGTCACCCAATGAATTTTCCTCACTGAGCCAATACAGCTCAGTCTTCCTGAGTCCAAACACTGAGTCTTTTACACTGCAAGAGGAGGTGGAATTTTGCTCTTTCTAGCACACATAGTTAAAAGCAAGCAGCTGCAGCCTCTCCTAGCTTGTTTTCCCCCCATTCATTAATGATTTTGCCATCTTGACCATATTTTGATGTGACCTGGTTTTTAATGTTGGAGGGTATACATCTGGGGCCAAAGAAAGCCATGTCTTTGCTTTGAGTCCCCAACTACCATATGTAATCATGTATAAATCGTCCTCATGTAAAAATCACAGAGAGATTTTGGGACCATAATTATGATTTTTTATATGATCCATTGATAAGTTAAAGTCATTTCCTAGAGAAGTAAAAGCATCAATGTCACCACAGGGCACCAGCCACCTCACCATTTCCCCATTTAGGCTTTCAGAAAGACCAGAAGTTTCACAGCAGAAGAGGAAGGCTACTCCTTCTTCTAGGTTCTTCCAGTGACAGGCCCGTAGCCAGGATTTCATTTCGGGGGGGTGAATTTTTTTCAGGGGGGGTTTCGGGGGGGCTGAGTTTCAGGGGGGGCTGAGTCTGAGTGAAAGAGGGTCTAGCCTAGCAAACCTTTTGTATCATTACCCCAATACCCCCATGCATATGGGATATATTGAGTATGGTGATCAGATCATGATATGAATAAACATAACAGTTTAAATAATGCACCAGTAAGGCCTTTTCGCGAACCACCATGAGAATTTGGGGGGGGGGGGCTGAAGCCCCTCAAGCCTACATGCCTGTCCAGTGATGTCTTTCACCACTCCACACAGAGAAGGGATAGTTCATTTTTAAAATATGAGTTAAGATACAGTATTTGTGTTGATCCATGGATATTTCATTGATTTTTTGAATAAAATTTCTAGACTTATACATAAGTTATGTAAGGCACTCTAATTTGTTTTTGTCAACTCAGAGTCTAGTTACAATAACTTTGTAGTACATTCTACTTATTCCATGAACACTAATCTTACTATTTAATACAGGATGGGACACTGAGATGGGTCGGGGAATCAATTTTCTTAAAGCCTTTGAGGTTGAAGAGCATGACAAACAATGCCACTCCTGTCCCCACCTGGGAGTGGCTAGAAATCTACAGCTGGTTTTGAAAAACTGTCTTGCAGTTAAACAGTGCAAGGGCGTGCAATCTGTTTATAGTTTAAATTGCCATTTCTATTGACTCCCCCTTCATACAATTGTCTCCTGTGGAATCCCAGAATTGGTAGTTTGGTCAGAGGCAACAGAGTAGTTCTTGAATTTTAATACCTCATAAAACTATGCTCTGTAGAAGACATTCATCCTTTTTTCCAGGGAGGAAAGGAGAAACTGGGGTGTTTGGGACATATCAGGAGCATTGTTGATGGAACTAACAAATTGTTATTACCTCCTCAAAGGTAGATTTATAAAATAAAATGTCTTGCATCAGTGTCTCCACCTTGGCTTCTTTTTCTGATTTCTCCATGAAAATGTAATCCACCTCCTAGAGGAAAACAGAAATGTCAAATGAAAGTAAAGCAAAATGTAATTGACATCCAACATTCAGTAAGTCCCCAAATGAGAAAATGTCAAATTTATAGTCAAAAGCCAATATGTTATGTTCAGGATATAATGAAAAAGAAAAACAACTGCTATAACAAATCATTCTTTGCCCACAGATCTTGTCTCATCTACACTTCAAAATCTGAAATATATATATATATTTGACAAATCAAATGCCAGCTTTGGTCTGGAATCCTGCTGATGATTTATACTTGTGTAAATATCTTATAGCTAACTGATCTTTTCTAAACCCAGGACTCTTTCATTTTTAAACTAAAATCTGGCTGCCCAGAATAAAGTGAATCTTTCAAGGTGGCTAATAATGATATATTTTTGTCACTACTCACCTTTTTAAGTGTAACATATTCATTTTCAGCACTGGCCCTCCTGTTGTATTCTTCTTCATATCTGGAATAATTAGCAAGACAAAGTTTATATATTAATAAGGAACTAGTATCAATTAGTCAATAATCTTATATCCAAATCATCATCATCATCATCATCATCATCATCATCATAGTTATTACCCGCCTCTCCCTGTGCCTCGAGGTGGCGTACAACATCATATAAACAAGAGATAAAACACTATTAACAGACATAGAACAAGATGCACCAAGGTTAAAATCCATTGATAAGATGCATATTAAAATTCACAACTTAAAATTAACCGGGTAGGCCTGTAAAAAGGGATGGTTTCTCACTTGCATCTTAAATTCTTACAGCTGATCTAACTGTCAAATCTTCCAGCAAGTAATTTCATAGTCTTGGGGAAGCTGATGAAAAAGTCCTCTGGCTGACAGCTGCTAGTCAGGTCTGGCAGGCTGGAGTAGCCATTCTCCAGAGGACCTAATAGTGTGGTGCAGATTATACAAGAAAAGACAAAGGCAGTGTTGCCCTAAGTCCTGGATGCAAACCATGTAGGGCTTTAAAGGTCAAAAACTAACTGACAACCAGTTTAGTGACTTTAATATAGGTGTAATATACTCACTCCTGGATGTTCCTGTGACCAATCTGGCTGCTGTATTTCAAACTAATTGGAGTTTCTGAACTTGGTACAGAGGTAGCCTAATGTAAAGTGCATTACAGAAGTCCAACCTTGAGGTTACCAGAGCGTTGCACTACTGATAAGCACTTCTGACCATCACATCTACCTGGGCTGACATTTGGAGAGACATCCAGGAGCATTCCCAAGCTGTGAATATAGTCTTTCAGGGGGAGTGTAACCCCATCCGGAACTGGTTGACACACCTTCACCCCCAGATTAGGACCCTTGATGGCAAGCACCTCTGTTTGGCCTGGATTCAGTTTCAATTTGTTTGTCCGATTACCTTCTTCGGGTATTCATTCAAAGGAGACATACTGAACTTACAGGAATGTTGTTTCTAAGCATGTGTTAGATTGCATTGTCAAGCTATCATGCTGCAGCCTATTAAGAGCAAGGCCTTCAGAAATATAAAATAAGCATGTAGCTGAATACATGGATGTGGTAAAATTGTCTTCTTTGTGGATTGGACTAGGGGAACTGTGGTCTCATTATGCCTATCAAGCATAGCCACTAGACATTCTAATATAAGATGTGATCTAATCCAGTGGTTCTCAACTTTTGGTCCTCCAGATGTTTTGTGCTCCAGTTCCCACAATTCCTAAAAGCTGTTACACTGCCTGGAACTTCTGGAATATTGGAAGACACCTGGAGGACCAAAGTCTGAGAAGCACTGATCTAACCATTCAAAGGGGAGCAGTTAGGAGACCTTGTTAATTCCAGATCTTAGAAACATTAATTTTTGGATCACAGCTAACACTGTCTCTGGATATGTTCATAGAGGTGAAGTGATCTAATAGTGCTGATCCAAAAAAATTACTTTTCCTCCGATCTCTGCCTGTCTCCTAGAGTACTACCATACAAAGGGCTTCTATGGCTACTGATCAGAAGACCCGATAGATAGATAGATAGATAGATAGATAGATAGATAGATAGATAGATAGATAGATAGATGATATAGATATAAATGAATTTTGAATTTCCTCTTTAAAGGATTTCCCCCCTGATATACACAAAAAGCAGTGGAAATCATTGGAGGATCATATATGGAAAACAGCGGTGTCAGAGTACTATCCTCCCTAAAATTCCATTTTGGAGGCAGGATAGAAATAGGACAAAAAATGGAAAGCACTTACCTAGTTGTCAATTTATAATACACCTACTTTGCTCCCATTATTGTGTTGTTTCTGAAATGAAGAATTGTTTTTCAGACAACCCAGTTCCCTGCCCCCCAAGCAATTGGAGTTAATTTCAGAGTTCCCAATATTTTAAATGTTTAACCACTCTCTCCATTCTTTCCTCCCCTTTCCTTTCCTTTCCTTTCATTTCCTTTCCTTTCCTTTCAGGTGCTTGCCTTTGGCCATCTCATTTTAATTTCCTGGGTGAAACTCACCCCCACTATCCTTTACCAATCTGTCCCTTCCCATTTCTTTTGTAGGTTCTAGTTTCTTCCCTACACTTTCTCCTGCCGTCTGAGCAATTCTGTCAATAATACACTTAGACCTTTTGGTTTACCCTGTCCTTCCATGATAACTGACCAACTGGGAAATGTATTTGTACAATATGTTGAACCTCCAGATAACTGAAGTGAAGTGATTGGTGTTGCACTGGAACACTAGTGTTCAGAGTAGTTAATATGATACTTAATCCATCCCCACTGCTCACTTCTTCTTGTTCCCTTCCATTGTATCTCTCCAGTTGTTCATTTCCACCTGCAGCTGATTCCTCTCCCATTGTAGGCGCTCCAGTTCCTTTCTTAGTCTACCGACATATTCATGAAACATGGGGTCCATGTTGCTTTTCTGGCGCTTTTTTTCTTTCAAGAAATCCCATTTAGTCTTCAGCATCAAGTTGTGCTGTTCCAGGAATCTCACCTGAAAAAGGACAGGGGCAGCAATGATTGGTGGGAATATTTACAAGAAAAGCTGGCACATTCATTTTCTTTCTTTAGTTTCTTACATTTTACTATACAGGTTTACCTTATCTAAAATGCTAGAGACCAGAAGTGTCTTGGATTATGGATTTTTTCCCAGATTTTGGAATACTGTATTTGTACATACCTACAAAATGATATATCTTGAAAATGGGAACCTAGTCTAAATGTGAAATTAATTTATGTTTCATATGCGTCTCATACATATAGCTTAAAAGAAATTTTATATACAGTATTTTAATACTTTTTTGCATGAAACAAAATTTGTGCACATTAAATCATCAGAAAACAAAGGTGCCACTATCTCAGCCACCCATGTTCACAGTTTGGGGATACTTCAAATTTTGGGATTTTGGATAATGAATGTTCAATGAGGATAAACAAGGGAAAATAATGCTTTGCTGAAACATAAAATAACCCAAGTGCCAAGCACATTGACTATCGGTTAGGGCATCTTCTTCCCACCACTTGTAGAGAGGCTAAGTGGGCTTTGGCAGTTAACAGAATAGTTTCTCCCACCAGAATGTAACCAGTGGGATCATTTAGGGATGTATGGGCAAGGCAATTCACGAAGAATCTATTGTTCTGTCTCACAACAAATGAGATGGTTGAAAACATCTGTCAGTTGCTTCACTAAAACTTCCTGGACCAATCAGGAGCTAACACAGGAGTCTTGAATAGCTGTCAAAATGCAATACATATGCTCTGAATTAGCAACTGCAGTATTGCAGTTCTTCTCCATTGACATTCTCTTTGACCAGTGAGAAGAAAATATCTGATTTTGCCTTCAACCTGTCTGTGTCTCATTCAACCTTCTGAGAAGCTAGACTTTGCTGGGCCCCCAAACCCATGGTTCTTGAAGTAGCTAAAATCACAAAACAGTTTGACATCATTTTAATTGCCATGGCTCAGTGTTATGGAATCATGGGAATTGTTGTTTTGCCGAAGAAGGATAGTGCTCACCAAACTACAACTCCCAGGATTCCATAGCATAGAGCCATGGCAGTTAACGTGATATTAAACTGCATTAATTCTACAGTGTGGCTGCAGCCTCAAAATTCGTAATAGTAGTGTTGGCCCTATAATGATCTAGCTATTGTTCTGTGGTCTCAGTCCCATGTTACTCTCAACTAAAGCAGAACCCTGGATCAATTACAATTTAATAGAAGTCCACACTTCTATTAAATTGATGAGTTGGCTTCTAATTGGGACTATAGATAAAAATCTGTGTTGTGCATGTGATAGTATTGTCCCTGTGTCCTTAATTGTGCTTTTCAACAAAGGAAGAAGAGCTCCATGGGAAGTGATGCTTTCACTGGGCTTCCTGCACTTGAAATGCCCCTGTGTGTCCATTCTACCTCTATCATGCAACCATTGGCCATGATAAATAAATGGTCCGGAGCAGCATGACCTTGAATACCAGATGCTATCTACCAAGGATGCAGTTCTTCATACATGACATTCTCACAGGCAAGATTGAAACATTTTCCATTTTTGTCCTTGCTTCAAGGCAGTCATTGAAAGTGGTAATCTTTGGGAAAATAGTTTATTAAATGCATCTTTTGTGCATTTATTTTTAGTGCAGAAGATTAGTTTCCTTCACAAAGAACAGCTTTTTCTAGGCAGAAAATCCATGTGCCTTTGTTGATTAAAATAAATAAAACGGCAAAAAATTGCAACACTCAAGAAAGCCATTGCTCATGTGAAATGAAATGAATGTTTATGCAGCCTTCAGACTGATGTTGAAATTGGGTGGAATGGAGTTATGACTGATTATATACAACAGAAAAATATTGTTTTGCTAATTGTTACCTCCATGTCCTCTGCTAGTTCTCCCAGGCATTCCAGCAGAATACTGGACTAGACTTGCCCAAGAACACAAAAAACCCATACACAGCAGACATGAGGTCTGATCCTTAAAGACCAATTCATTCCATATTTATTTTTTCAGCATCCTTTTTACAAGATCCAAATGGAATGAGTGACTTGACTAAAATCACACAACTCTAATCCTATGACACCAAAGCACCAGTGTATTTAACTGTCAAAACACCGGTATTAATTTCTAAAACCTAAAGCTCTAAATCGGGATCAGAAATCTTTAATTTTTACAAATATTTTGGATTTGAAGTTCCAGAAGTTCCAGACAGTATAGCCAGTGGTAAATAATTAATTTGATTAGATACTACATTTAAAGTGATAAAGGAGTTCCTAATTAAATAGTTCATGAATTAGTTACATTCATTTTATGCTTTTCACTGACACATTGATGACTTCCATGGAGAGATGGGGTGGTAAATCCACTTAGTTTTAGTGCCATTAAAAAAAATCCAAGGGTGCAGCTACACTGCAGAATTAGTGTAGTTTATACCACCTTGCCTGCCAGGGTTCAATGCTATTGAATGCTGGGAGTGGTAATTTTACAAGTTCTTTGGCCTTTTCTGGCAAATAGTGCTCTCCAAACTACAAATCCTAGGACTGAGCCATGGTAGTTAAAATGGTGTTAAACTGGTGCTGATTCTACAGTATGGGTGCACCCTTGGATGTCTTCCATAAAGTTTAGACTAAAACCCAGAGAAATTCGCACAACCACTGAAGGTATTGGCTGGTATTGATGACTTTCCCCTGATAAGCTGAAGATGTCCTCATCATCATGTGAGTCTACACGACCACATAATCCAGTTCAAAGCAAATTATTTGGGTTTTACGTAGCAGTGTAAAAGGGACCTGACTGGTCCAAGATCACTCTGTGAATGTATGGCTCAGAACCCTTCTGCATTGCCATATAAAAACTAGATTATCTGCTTTGAACTGGATTATGTGGCAGTGTAAAATGAACCTCGGTGGTCACTTGAATAAAAGCCTCCATAGTCCTACTACACTGCTCTGGGGCCTTTTCACACTACACAATTAAAGCACTATAATTCCACTTAAATCACCATGGTTCCACTCTATGAAATTCTGGCATTTGCAATACAGCAAGGGGTACTTAAAATTCTTAACCAGTGTTCTAATACCTCACCAAACTATAAACCACAGCATCACATGGGATGGAGCCATGAAGTAATAATGTTACATAGTGTGATTCAAAAGAGACTGGCTCTTTTTCAATATGTTTTGTCATTATTTTATATACAAGTGCAATTTGTTTGAAGGATTTGAGACAAATGTGATACACATGTTAGGTTTCAAAGATCTGAGGTTTATGCAACCACTATACAATAAGGATGAACAGATCTGTTCGGTCTACACTTATCCTTTTTCCAGTATTAAGTGTGATTCTTCCCCAATGTTACATCTGATTCAACTGCAACTTTTTCAAAATGGATGTTGTTATTTCTGCAATTGGACACATTATTGTATGCATTTGTTAACAGGATAACCAAATGGTGAAATGTGGAGAGTCTATGTGTTTCTGAACAAATAACATTTGATTCATATATTAGTTCAAATGGGTCAATATGGTGAACTTATTATGGATACATAAATAAAATGAATTTATCCTTTAATTTGTCTTATTTACTTACCTTGTCAATGAAACAGGCAAACTTGCTGTTCAGGCACTGAAGTTGGTTCTTCTCTTGGCATTTCACTGCTTGAGCTGCTGAGTTGATCTCTAGGTTGAGTGGTTGCAATAGAGTCATGTTACAAATTACTGGTGTAATAGCAGGAGTACCAGATGTACCAACTCCAGCTTGATTTAACCCATAGGGGCTATATAAACTGTAACCACATCCAGCACCAGAGTAGCCATATCCTGCACCAATTCCTCGATGCCCGTATCCATATATTGCAGGACGGCAGCTATTCCCTGTGATCTTAGGACCGTGAGAACTGGAACCACTCAGACTTTGGCTACTAAAGTAACCAGCTCCCTTGAATCCAGAGCTGCATCCTTTGGAAGTGGAAGGAAAACCAAAGTGACTTCTGCTCTCAGTTGATGGGAGTAGAGCTGAGCAAGAAGTAAAGTTACTGGGTCTTTTTGCAGGACTCGGTGGAGAAGACATGGTTTCTTCAAAGAGAGTGGCTGCAAAATGAAGAAGTTAAAATTGCAGGAAGGGCCAGCAAGAAACAGTCTGATTCCATCTGATAAGTGTGTGGCCTTTATATTTCTTTGTGGATATGGGCTTGGTTGCTTCATTATAGGGAGATCAGAAAAAAAATCTAGCATTTATGAGCTTGAAGGGTTTTACTTTTGCTTCATAAAAGAAAGAAGAGTGTGGCTCATGAAGTCTATAAATGATACTCAGGGTGCTACCAATCGTGGGAGAAAATGCCAAGCTTTAAAAAAATCTACACTTTTCCTCCCGGTTACTCTTTTCTCCATGATTGATTAAAGCATTAATGATTCAATTCAGTAGCTTTGGAGACTGATCATGCAACATCAGGAAAGGAGGTGTATTTTTAAGCCAGCATTCTCATTTTTCTACAACAAAATATGGACAAATTACATTTTTGGAATACAATGAAGTAGACACTCTGCTCACACAAATATTATTTCTGCAAGCAATTGTATCTTTTTTTGAACAAGAAGACATCCACTGATGCATTACTCAAAAAGTTACCTTGGTAAGTTGTTACTCCCACCCCCAAAACCAAGGAAGT